AGATATCAGTGGAATAGTCATGGAACCGCTAAGAATTAGCTAATTATCATGCAAATTAGGTAATTAACGAGCATGGATTTTTACCAAAACCTAATCAAATCTGCGCATTGGCCCAGAGCATCTATGCACCAAGTTTCATCAAAAACCGATGTATGGTTCTTGAGATAGCAGTGGAACAGTCGGACACACATACACACACACACACACACACACACACACACACACACACACACACACACACACACACACACACACACACACACACACACACACACACACACACACACACACACACATACATACATACAGACACACTAACTGCAAAGACTCCCATTTTGTGCTTCGCACATGGGAGTCAAAAACGACACAAGCGTAAATTGACAAGGAAAACTTATCCTACCAACTGCAATGTCGAATGACGTGCAGCGGCAACAACCCAAGCTAGGAACCCGGACAGGAAAAAGGCAGGCGATGCAACAGAGCCACTAAAACTTCATCCCTGCCGATGCGGAGAAAAACGAAGAGTGATTTGTACAGCCGTCTATGGGGCTGCCATATGGCCTCGGTCATGTGGTTCGTGACGTAAGGGAAAGAGAATCTTGGGGTCATGGGGCAGAATCGCTGATTAATGCCTCCAGTTCAAAATAGTCTTTTTGACTGACCGGAGTCTATGGTGGGTAATTGAACGTGGTGAATATGCATGTGCACATGTCCAACAATTTGATGTACATGTATGTGTGAAGTTTAAGCTTGAGCGGACTAGGCATGTCGGATATATAGATCTGGAATTGCATTCTTTCAAATAAAATGACCACCAGCTAGCCATTTAATCTCCATCCAAAAAAATAAAATGATTTGCATCAAGGTTCTATTGTATTAAATGTACATTGTATGTACTAAGTTAAAAACAAAATCTGTTCAAACACGACTGACATCAGGTTCCAGAATGGTGAAAAAATGTGATTTTGATTAAACTTTGGCCTTAAAATGGCTGCCATTAGACAATCTTGAATCACATGATGAAACAAGTGCATCTACAGCATATGTCCGATATAATGTATGTGTGAAGTCTGAACTTGATCTGTCCGAGCATGTGTCAGATACTGCTGGATACCAACAAACACACACATACACACAGGTCAATCATTAAGTTCTCGTTTTGCAAATCCATTTCATTTCAATGAATGCAGATATGGCTTTTTACAGAACCATGTATAGGAAAAACCTATACTATAACTATAAAACACTTGGATGTAGTGAGGTTAGATCTTACCTTACAACATTTACTGAGAATACTAGTAATACATTCCTGTGTACATAAAGACATTGGTATAATACTAATCAAGTGCAGCACCACAGCTCCATCCTGTCGGTAAATGAACTCAAAGTTAAACACTCAAAACACAATAATTTTTTTCAAAACTGTGCATGAATATTTGCCATGGTGATAAGACATCACACCATAAGAAAAACACAGCAACTTCAGAGTTGAGCATGGGGTCACTTTTTGGTATTTATTTTTCTTGTGCTTTTTCAGTTAAATTCGACAAACTTGTGCAATTCTACTGGTAAACTATTAGTGAAATGACATTCTGAACAATCACTAAAAAAAATATTATTAAGATTTCCGAGAGGTGGTTGCGATGGGTATTCTGAAGGTGCATGGCTATAAGACTTATACCATGTAAAAAGCAAAAAAAACAGTGTACTACAAGTAGATTATAATTTTTTGAAATATGAACAAGAGGGTGACAAAGTTGGATATTTGTGCATGATAAAGATGCATGTATTCTCTCTATTAGTAGTACATATTTAATATAAACAGCACACTAAACCTAAATAAAGCAAACTCACTGTGACTTGTTGAAATTATTACTGTCATCATGTTCGCTGCAACTTTTGCCTATTTTTAGGTAGATTTCTATAAATTGTTTTGATAATTGTAGACCAGATTCTTTATTGACTACAAGTCTTAATTTGTAATCAAAATATTTTTTTTTTGAAAAGTTGGAAATGTTTTTACTCAATGGGTTATGGTAATTGCTCTAATAGAAGTGCATACATGTATGAACTAAAAAGTACAGTTTTTGTACACTGAATCACTAAAATATTTTGAACATAGAAACACATCCACAATATACATTATTAATAGAGCATATATAGAAATACACATTATTCGTTTTTTATCAGACTTTATTTTAAAATGCGTGTTTTTCATCTAGTAAGTACAGTAGCTGAAACAAATGATAAATGAAAGGTACTCACATCGTAAAGATAATCTGAAGGGGTGACGTCACTCGCAAAAATAGTTCGGAGACAACGAAGACAGGCTTCAATGTATTTAATATCAGAATGCACAAGACCTGCAATGATATGTTGCATGGGTTTATTATAATATATAAGTGATAATAATGACAGCTTTATATCAGTCATCTGCCAAGTATCTGAATGTAAATAGAAGTTAAATTCTCTAAAGCCCATATGCAAAAATGACGATGACACCCACAGGTGCAATTAATGTTACATACAATTGATGCTGTGGTCATTTGGTGAAGAATGTAGCAAGAGGTGAAATGATTGTATAAATGACACAAAATGCACAGAATTTCATATTTTCTTTTTAAAGAAATGAAATGTATTTCTAATCCTAAATATTATATTTCATACATAATTAACATTCAGGCAATCACTGTAGATTTATTGTGGGCTGGGGCTCTACTAAAAGTCTGTCGTGAGTCTGGCATTCAGTTTCGAGTTAATGGGGGCTGGTGCTCTACCCATTGTCTGTGGTGAGTCAGGCATGCAGTTTCAAGTTAATGTGTGCTTATACGCTACTCAAAGTTTTTGGTGAACAAGGCAATCGCTGTAGAGTTAACATGGGTAAATTGAAATTAACAACATATTGACAGGATCTAATTAATCTTTTTTCATAGTGCAACTCACCTTTCAGTAGAATTGGAATTACTCCATTATCTAATAAACTCTTAACATTATCGCATGTACCTTTGGCAAAGCTGCCAAGTACTACAGCAGACTCTAGTAATACTTCACTATTACCACTGAACTCAGACTGAAGGTACAGCAATCTAGAATAGACAACACACATGATTGGTAAATCCATTTTGTATTTAAGAACAATTCTCAGGGAAATGGAAGAGTCAATAGATGTAGGTACTGTGTATAAAGGAGTAAATGAGTAATATATTATATCACATTTATAATGTCACCCATGCAAAGAGTCAACACATTTAGGTAAAATCTACCTTGTAGAAGAATGAGACAGTAATACCTGTGTTAGCGAACACCTCTATATAATGACAACCTG